ATTAGTATATAAATATATCAACAGATTTCCAGTCATTAAAGATAGCTTCAACATAAAGATTATACTAGTAAGTAGATATAAATATATTAGAATTACTAAAACAAACTAAAAAAATTAAAAAATTAATATTAGATAAAACTATTATCAACTTGATAAAATCAGAGTTGTTTTAAAAATATTAATCACAAAACAAGTAACAAAAATCAAGTTTGAATTTTGTTACTTATTTTGTAATTAATACTTTAAAACTATTCTGACTTATTATAGAAAAAAATATAACAAATATTACTAGATAGATCGTTTTGCTCTTCTTCTGATATTAAACTATAATTATTATTACTAATTACAAAATTATTAATAGTGTTACAAAGCAGATTGTAACACAACATAACATTAGTATAGTATAGTGTAGATTATAGTTTATTATTTGTATATACAGTATTAGTTATATTTATTTAGTATTAGTTATTATTATTTTTTTTTTTTATAATTTGGCAATTATGCCTTAGCTTTATTAGGCTTTGTACAATTCCTCTAGAATATGTAAAATTTTACAACTAGGCATTTCAAAAGGTAAGTAATAAACTCTAAACTTGTCGGCAGATAGTGTATAAGAACTATTTCTAAATGACAAGTGCTGTAGCCCACATTGTTATCTAAATTACAAGTTAAGACTAACCCGGTTACCAACTTGGCACCTATGTTTGACCTGCTATAGCAAGATTTCTCTTCTTCTGGACCCCTTCTGAAATTGGATATGACTCGGCTCTTAACAATAGACCTTGCCGCTCATCATGACTACCTCTCCCTTCTTTTAGACTTCTTCTACCTAAACCCGATAACAAAATTAAAACCCTTATTCGTATATAAAAGTAAAAAAAATAAAGCCATGTTTATAAAAGACATAAACATTTTAGAAAAAAAAAACACCTCATGATGGGAAAAAAAAACTTTTCAACAAATTCTAAAATAGTCTAATATAAATAAACAAAAATGAAAAAAGCGAAAAAAAAGAAAGGTAGCTATGACACACTATTATAGCCTGTGCTAGGCATAAGGGTAAAATTATATAATAATTGCAACTAATTACTATATCTTGATTGTAAACCTTTAGTTTAGCTTTGGGACTCATTCCGGGCACTGACTCGACTCAGGTATCTCCTAAACAGGGGTGTAGATCTCTTCCTTATACCGTAGCATTATATTCGCAAAACAACAAAACATGTAGTTGCCTTCTACTGAGTTCATTCTGATTTGGTAAGTGTAAACAATGCTGATTTTTTTGGAGGGGGTAAGCCAAAAAGCCCACTTTTTGTTAAAAATTTTGGTGAGAATGGCAGAAAATGAAAATGAAAAGGAGACCTTTTGATACCACTTAAAAGAGAGTAAGTTATTAAAAACAACAAAGACAGCCTTCCTCCAGACAGTACACTACTCGAATTTTGTTGGTGAGTGATAAACTCTGAACTTGTTAGCAGATAGCGTATGAGAACTACCTCTAAACGACAAGCGCCGGGTTTGCAGTAAGTGATAAACTTTGAAACTGTCGGCAGATAGTGTATGAGAACTATCTCTAAACGACAGTTGCTATCTTACAGTCCCTTCTTTCTTCGACTTATAAGCTGAGAAGTCAGTTTTAACTATTTTTGTTGAGTAGTTTTTTCAGAAAAATTTGGACCAAATGATTGTCAGAAAAAGTTGAGTATTAGTTATTATTATAGTTATATTTATTAATATAGTATTAGTTATTTTCTTTATTATTGTATTAGTTATAGAAATATTATTGGCTAGTTAACTGAGATATAGTAATATCCATACGAGTATCTCTCAATACCTTCACACAAGTACCTCTCAATACCTCCACACGAGTATCTCTTAGTACCTCCACACGAGTATCTCTCAGTACCTCCACATGAGTATCTCTCAGTACCTTTATACAGGTATTTCTCAGTACCTCTGCACGAGTACCTCTTAGTATCTCTATACAGTTTAGCAGTTATATTGTTATATTTCTTATGTGTAAAAAATTATAAAAAGAGAGCCTTTGCCCCTTTTACTCAAGTCAGAGAATTCCCTACTCTCTTATAGTATCTAGCCCTATCTTCTTACTATTCTTATCTTGTATAAATGATATACTCCCTCTAGGGTAATTCTAGTAGGTGAAGTTATCCTCCTTAATCTACAAATAATAAAGTATTAACTTATATACTGTCTCTATGTCAGACTGTTTGCCTCTTGCTAGTGGAAGTAATGCATATTCCACTTCCACTCCATATACACCCCAATAGCAAGGTCCCTGCACCAGGTGACCTTGTTACCTTGCTACGTGTTAACCAAGAAAGCCATAGCATTGTAACAATAGTATTGTTTATAGCATTGTTTATTGCATTGTTCATAGCATTGTTCATAGCATTGTTCATAGCATTGTTTGTAGCATTGTTCATAGCATTATTTATAATATTATTTAGAATATCATTCATAGCATTGCGCATAGTATCGCTCATAGTATTGCTTATAGTATCATTCAGAATATCATTTATAGAATCACTCATAGCATTACTCGAAGCATCGCTCATAAAATCATACATGTTATTAATCATATTTATAATATTGTTTATATTCATATTGCTCTTATAAATCAACTAGAGAAATAAAAAAAAAAAAATACTAATATTAAAAATTCATTTGATAATACAGTAATTAAAGCTTTCAAGACACAAAGTATCCAGACTATTCTGTTTTAAGTGGTTAAAAATAAAAAGAAAAACTATGAAATAGAATAAGTTTGAATACTCTATTCCACGAAGTGCTTAAATTTAAAGCTTTTACAACTATATTCTGTGTTTTTTCCTTTAGTCAAGGTGATTATTCAAAATACACTTGCTAATTTGTTTCTTTCTTTTAGTAATAAAGACTATAAATGAAATAAGTCTGAATACTTTATTCTAACAAAGTATTTAAATTTAAAGTTTTTACACCAAACCGGTTGTTTCTTTGGTCAAGATGATCTTTCAAAGTTTGTGCAAAAATTTTGTAAAGTATACCTGCTAATATACTTTTTCTCTTTAAATAAAGTTCTAAAGAATTCAATATGTTAAACTTGTAAAATATATTCAATAATGCATATTCTACCTTCAATTCAAGTTGATTCTTATTAGAATTTAAAGAAGTCAGTTTTTGCTTGTTTGGATAGTGAAATTGTAAAGTGATATTAGAAATTAGTAGTATAATGCATAATGCATATCTATATATTACAAACTATATTATATAATTATAGTGAATTTTACTGGAAATTAAATTTAAATAAACAAAAAAAACTCTTTTCAATGATCACTTAAACCATATTTTTTGAAAAACATTTTACTGCAAAAAGAGACCTTACAAGCTAGCACTTGACATACTAGACAATAAGTTAGCATTTGTCGTTTAGAAGTAGTTTTTATATGCTACTTGCTGACAGACTTAGAGTTTATCACTTACTGCATAGTCTTGGCACTTGTTGTTTAGAAGTAGTTCTCATATGCTACCTGCTGACAAGCCCAGAGTTTATCACTCACCAAAAAAAGATTAAGCAGATGTTGGGCGGTGGGTCTTAACTATAAAAAAGAAAATTCACACTCCTTTAAATTGGTTTGAACCTCAAGTGGTCCCTCTTTACTTCTTGTCATTTTTTCATTAATCTTCAAAAATTTTTCATAAAAAATGGGGATTTGGCTTACCCCCTTCAAAAAATTGGCATTGTTTATTTACCAAATCCGGATGGACTGGTAGATAGCAACTATGTGCTTGAGACAAATACATTGCACAGGCTCTGGAATGAGTTTTGGTCAAAAAAGGAATCCCTGGTGGCAGCAGCAAGTAGCTTGAGATATAAGTACCTGAGTGACAGTACTTTTACGAAAATGTCGTGACCTTGTTGTCGTTGGTGCCATATATAGAGAGTCAGATCCTAGTACTGCAGCAGCACTTGGTTTGAGATACAGACTAGATTATTAAAAAGATTCGAAAATGGGTTGGAGCAAATTTTAAGGTTAAGTTTAGACTTACAACAAAGATATACAGATGTTGCATTTAGTATATAATTTTTAAATCACCTGGCACGAGTTATAATAGTGTATTCAGATCGCTTAATTTTTTCTTTTTTCTGCTTGTTTTATCTATTTTCATTTATATTAGAATCGGTTTAGGTTCTTCTTTTCTTTTTTTTTTGTTGTTTCATTTTCTCTTTTGAGTTCTGTTTTCTTTTTTAGAACAATTTCTATTTTTTTTTTAGTTATGAGAGAGCTTTTAGAGATTTTCTTTAAATGTATCTTCCTTCATTATATGTTAGTCTTATGTAGAAGTAAGAAGTAAGAAGTAATATATATAATCTGCTGGGATTTAAGTGGATTGAGTTCGAAAAGATATTACCAAAATTTAAAGTGAGATAATCTTGAAAGAAGGGATTAGCTCTTAAAAGAAGTTTTTCTTTTGTAAATTGGCATATATGTTGCGCTATGTAAAAGTAGAAGAAAATATATTCTGCTCGTACATTGGTGAAATAAGTCTAGAAGAAAGGTAAAATATAATCGGTTCGAATATAGATAGCTGAGTACCAAGCTATAGCAGGTTTTTAAATATAAGCAGCACCATATGTAGAGCTTGTTGGCAACATCAGTGCGATAACTATACTTGGGCACTTTATAGTAGCCAGGTATATACCTAATATGTAAATTAGATAGTTAATTTTGTAAATTACAAAAATCCAATAAATTAGTGCAAGGTTATTAAAGTGAAAAAAAAATTTATACTTATTAAAAAATAAAGATAAAAATTAATAAATCAAGTCAATTCCATAATTTTTTTTCTTTATTTATACAAAAAATCTAAAAACATTAACAAAAACTAAAAACATATCTAAATTAAAAAACAGAGTAAAAATTTTTTATAAAAATTTTACTAGTACTTTTGGATATAATACTTGTAAAAACAATATAAAAATAGATATTGGTATTGGATTTATGCCTAAAACCCAATTTTCTTCTATATCTGTATATTGGGCTAGAGATGCTTTAATAACATTTGCTAAAAAAGTTGGTGTCAGATTTAGATTAAATAATAGATCAACTTCAAAAATTGATAATTAGACATATATATATACTTCTGAAAAAATTATTGGTGAATTAATTAGTTTATAGTCAAATCTATCATTGTAAAAAAGAGGCTTTTACTAGTACTCGATCTGTACTTTTAAATGAACTAAATGATTTTAATACTATAAAGTATCTATTAAAATTCAAAAGAACTATTAGTATTTTGAATAAAATTGATAATATTAATTTTGGTGCAAGACTGAAATAAAAATAGATTTAATATAGAGACAAATTTTTATTGACCTTTTTAAATCAAATATTCTAGATTTTTTAAAATTAAACTCTTTTTTTTAATATCTACTAAAATTATTTCTGATTATAAAATTGTTAAATTAAATAAGTTTTTAAATACTTATAATAACTTATTATTTTTGCTTAAAATATCTTCTTATAATATTAATTATAAAATTAGCTTAGTAATTTTAATAAAAACAATTGATTAAAGTTTTTTTTTAATTTTATTTATTATCTGATATATAATAATTTGTATAATCCATTGTTAAATAAAAAATTTTAATGATTTAATTGATTAAAAAGTATAAATTTTTAATTGTATAGAAAGGCTATTTTATTAAACTGAAAAAGCAAAAATCTAAACATTTATAAAAAATTTTTTATAAATATTATATAAACTATTAAAATAATTTAACAAATATTAAAGCTAAAATAGATATTAAAGGTTTGACAGATGTTTTGACTATCAATTTCTAGATTTGACTAAATATAATTTCAGCTAATTTTAGATATTAAATACCTAATCTAATCTGTGTTACTTTCTTATTAAGCTAATTTAATTTTGGCTAATAAAAGAAAAAATATTAAATAATAACCAAAAGAGTTGATTTACTATCACTTTTTTTGTATAATCTAGAAATATAAGTATAATAAAATCCTAACAATAATTATGACAAACTAGTTAAATTTCAACTTCACAACAATAATATATCTTTGCAATTAAAAAAGTAGATTTTAAAGAACTGTAATAAATAGTATAAAAATTGATATTAGGTCAAATTCTGATGCAGAAGAATTCTATAAAAAATTTGATAATAAGTGTTATAGTTGATAATAAAGAGCTTGGAAGTGTTGTTCTATATTTCCATACTATCTAATAAAGATCCTATATATGTTGATAATAGTCCTGCAAAAAATAGTAAGAGCTCAATATATATCTGCAAATTGTATATAAAATTTTTTTATTTTAATATAAAGAAAGTATGTAAATTTTTATATTGACAATGAACATATCTACATTATTGTTCTTTTTCCAAAAATTATAAAAACTAGCAGAGAATAGAAATTAATTAATAAAATTGAAAAGCTATAAAGGAAATTTGAAAAATCTATATATAGTATACTAGTTTAAATATAAGTTTAAAATTGAAATTATACTAATCTAGTTGTTATAAAATTCCATATCTTAGTTAACTCAAAAAGAACAAAAACATTTAAATAGATTACAAGATCAAGATCTTTAGCCTTGTCAAACAACTCAGATAAATAGTACTATTAGAATGCCTGTTAGATAGTAAAAGAAACCCAAGTTAAACTTTCAAAGCTAATTGTAATCATATGTGAAGACAAGGATATTGAGGTTTGGATAAAAAAGGTGATTGACCATATCACATACTACTAGATATGACACTAAAGCTGGAATTAAAAATGCAAACTCAAAATATATAATTGATTAATACTTGGTAATAGGAATGCAAATCAATAATGGACTGTATTATGAAATGAAAAGGGCAAGAGAAGAATGGGTGAATAATTCAGATGGGTCAAGTGATTGCTCACTTGGGCAAAATTATGACAGGAATAATAGTGTTGGGCAACATTATTGAGATCGGATATGACAGGCATCAGGATCATCAATCATCGTAACAATGATGATTTTATTGGTGAAATTTATGAGTTTATTTTATTAAAATGTAAAGAGATAGGGAAGTATAAGTGTTAGCAGAGTATGTAATAGAAAATTTAATATAAATAGTGAATGTAAATAATGAGATCTAGTTAGCCTTTTGATTAATAATAATGAGAACAAAGCATTAAAGAGAATACTTATGCATTAAAGTTGATTGGTGTGTGTTTTTATGCCAAGTGAGATAGGTATGTTGCGGTCCATCCTGGTCTGGTCTTGGTCCCAAAGACCGGTCCTACCAGAGGACCGCGGACTTGACCATGTCCAGGACCGGTCCATAAACTGGTTCATAAATCGGTCAATTAGCTGGTTTTCGAAGTAAGCTATGTGGTTTTAATGATCGCTACATATAAAAAGACCTTATGGCTATCATCATAAATCCTGGAACAATTGAAAAAATTGCCAATGCCTAGTGATGCAGTAGAATCACTCCAATGATTTGTCATAACTAGTTGCAACATAAGTTTTTAGTTAGTTACGACTTGAGCCGTAACATCATTGGAACGATTCTACTGCATCACTGCAATGACTGAATCGACAAGTTACCAATCAAAAATCTATAAATTACTGAATTAGGCTGACATTGGAAACTTATAGATACGGTCATCGATATATAAATATATATTTAGCCAATAAGGTCATTCCATAGGTTTTGGACTGGTCCAGACCGGTCCTCAATTTAGGGCCGAAAACTGGTTGGACTGGTTCAAAAGACCGGTCCGGACCATGGTCATTGTAGGACCGTAATATCCCTAAAGTGAGACATCTATAAATCAGTAACCGTTTGAGCGAGATGACAGTTACAACCGTGATTATCTAACTCTGTGATATAATATGTTAAGATATATAACGCTTTAATAAAATATAATTCTTCCAATGGTTGAGCATTGCAAAAATCATTGGAATATATGAGCGAGTAAAGCTATATAATATCATTGTAATTTGGACGTTTTATTTCCCTATAAAAAAAATATCTTGGAATTATTCGGAAATTCTCAGAAAATCGACTCCGTTTAGAGCATTTAAAGGATGTTTATTGGAGGAATGCGTTTTTTTATACGTTTTTATACGACAATGTTCAATCAAAAATTTTCTATTTTTTGCATCCCGTCATGAAAACAGTACAAATATAAACCCTGTTCGGAAAATCGACTCTATTCTGAACATTTTTTGGACAATGCTTGCAATAACTGTACAAACTTTTTTTATAGGGTTTAAGCAGAAACTAATTTCGAGTAATATGATGGCAAGTGTTATAAATCAGTTTTATATTGAATATTTTGGCTTTAAAATCAATTTTCAATGACTTGATATTATATCAAATACGTGCGTAGTTTTGTGGAAATGGGGTTATCGTACTAAAGTAATAAACGGACTAAGTAATTTACTTTGATCGGTTTTTATCACGAAAAATAATTCATTATTTAATCTATTTGGCAGGGACAGCCATTAGACATATAAAAAACTATCAATAGACATATATTTGTCTAATGACTTTTTCCCATTAGACTATGTAAGCTCACAACCCTGTATTTGGGTTTTAAAAGATTATATATGTTTCTAATTTCTCTTAACTGGAAAATATTTGTAAAATCACTTCAAATAATTACATTTGACTTTCGCAAACATTTCCAATAAAGTCTTATATATTTTAAATACAAATTGTTTCATAAAGCGTAATCCATATATCCTATTATCAAAGTCCCAAATTTATATACAAATAAAGGATTTTTTGCGTAATTTTATTCTTAGACTCTATAAATAAATCATTAATATATAATGAGTTGAATCAAATATGCCACTCACTGAAATTGATGATAGTAGGAAAATGCAAACATTTTGTTTGAAAATTTATTTGGTTGAAAACAATATTTTATCCACGAAGTTGACAATAAAATAGATGTTTAGGTTGTTTCAATAATATGTATCACTTTGCTAAGGGGGCAAAGTCTACGTACGATCATTAGTGTTTCGCACTTCACATGCAGTTTCTCTCTACATAAGTGCACATTATCTGGTATATAATTGAAGCTGACAATGTGTATTTATGAAAGGTTAATGTTCGATATACAAATCGAACCCTCTTATGTCAAATTAAATGAAATATGGGGAATTGATTAGAGCCCCATCTTTTGCATTTTTTGACCGATTTTGAGATTTTGATTCAAATTAAAATCTTAGTTCTTATTTGCACATGTTCAATTTTTTTATCAGATATCAAAATTAAATAACGATAAATTTTAGTTTGAAAAAAAAAAGATTTTCGAAGATTGTCAACTTCACAAATTGAATTCAACATGTGATCTTGATCAATATTTACGTACAGTACGTACGTACGTACGTATCTCATAAATCTGGAGTGTAAACTGTGTAACCCAAACAATAATTCTATTTTTTTCATCGTGTTAAATCATGACAAAATACAGTATCTGTTTTTTTCTGATGGATATATTAATTATCTCGAATATAATAAGTTTACAAACCCTACAGAAATCGGTTTTTTGAATACAAGTGGAAAGACTATGAATTAATTATATTTTAAATTTGATGTCGACTTTAAATTAGAAATTATTAAAGATTTTATTATATTAAACCTTAATTACTTAGCGGTATATTCAATTTCTATAATAATTTAATAAAGCTTAAGCTGTTACGAAGAGTTGACTTCCGTCAAAAATTTATTAGATTTGTAGGGTAAAGAACAAAATTATTTATCTAATACAGATAAATAGATGGTTTTATAATATGCTAATGGGAAAAGTTTGAGAGAATACCTAAAAACAAATTTTACACGATTACAATGGACAGATAAACTACTCTTACTAAGAAAATAGCATTAGACTTTTTATACTTACATGATAATATCATTATTCATAGAGACCTTGTAGGTATTATATGGTTTACAGCACTTTTATTTTTATTAATTCACTAATAATTTGGCATTCGAAAAAGATTAAATTCATCAAAAAACAACCAAAGATTGCAGAGTTTGGATTATCAAACCACTTCAAACTCAATCGCTCAAGAAATGCTGGTATACTGTAACGGTTGTTTGGGAGAGCAGAATACAATTATGGACAATAGTGCCAATTTGAAGCTCCAGCCGTGTATGAAAAGGGATATATAAGTATTAAAAATGGGTAATAAATGAGACTCGTGGAGGTAATTAAAGATGACGAATCAAAATGATTCGGAAATGATATCAAAAGGGCTAATGTTTGTAAATTATAGGTTAAAGGAATCCATTAAGTGATATATCAGCAGATAATAATATTTAGTATAATGAGCTATTTTAAAATCGCGGATGTTGGTGATGCCAAAGGAGGTAGGGGCTTCTACTTTGTCATTTCGAAAGATATCTTTTCTTGGACGAAAGAACTTCCAACCAAAATCACGTTACCAAGTTCCGACGATGTTCAATACTACGTCACACTTAGTGATGTGCCGCGTACAGTACTATACGTACAGTACTGTACGTACTGTACGTACTGTACGCTAAAATTTTTGCCGATCACTTTTGCCAGCCAATCAGATGCCAGAAAAGAACTATACGTACAGTACGTACAGTACGTACTGTACGTACTGTACGCTAAAATTTTTCAGGTATCATATAAATGGCACATCACTAGTCACACTATTGTACTAATTTAGGTACATTTTTCTACACGACTAACAGACAAAATTGTACCATATTTTTTTAAATTGTAGTTCTAGAAATAGAACCGGTTTTTAAATAACCTATGTTAATTATTAAAAAAAAATTTATCCAAAATTTTATTAAAAGTTATTAAAAAAACCGGTTCTATTACAGTGTAGGGCTAGTCTAGAACTACAGTTTTTAAAAAAAAAACATATACAATTTTGTTTGTTGGTTGTGTAGAAAAATGTACCTAAATTAGTATAAATTTATACGTGAAATAACCCTTTAAAAATCCGAAATTAATGATCTAAGTTTTGATCAATTAGTTTATTGAACACCCTAACGTCACACGAGAATTCGAGTCTCGAATTGAGTCTCAATGAATTTATTAAATTTAAAGTCGAAATTTAAGATAAGTATTTTTCATTACTACTTTATTTATGAAGGACGTGGAATTTATTTGACTTTATTAAAATTGAAGGTCTTATATACATTTTACAATTGTACAACGGACTCGCTGAATTCTCAGCTCTTTCGTTGTAGTTTCGATGAATTCGCTGTGGTTCCAGCGTATTCGCTGTCATGACCACTCGTTCGCTGTTCTGACCGCGTCTTCGCGGTATTTACGATACACATGCATCTAAGCCACCAAGCCACTTCTATTTTAGTATAACTGAAACGTTTATAGCGTGATAAAATTAATAATACCGCGGGTATTGCTATCAAAATGGAATTGGTGGGGTAAAAAAAATATACTACAAAATAATAACAAAATAAACTAATAAAATAAAATATGAAGAAGATAAGATAATATAATAAACTAAATAACTAACACACGAAGCGAAATGAAATTCTATTCGTAATAATACATATATCGGACCTAAACACTTTATAGATCCCAAATATATATATATAACAAGAAATCTGATGTCTATAGCTTTGGTGTAATCCTTTGGAAAATTTCAAATGGAAAGCCACTCAAGGAAATAAGAACTTTGCGAGCAATGTTAGGACAAAGATCCTGCAAATCGTCCAGAAACAAAATTACTTCATGATACTTTAAAACAAATTATTCATCCAAACCTTTGAGTCAACTCCGTTATCCTGAAACATCAGTTTAAAATAATGAAACTTCATGTTCTCAAAGTAATATAAACGCACTTGAAACTACGAATCGTCTTTAATTATTTATCTGACACAATAAATTCAAATATTTCAGCACAAGACAATAATATTCCTGAAAATATGAGAAAACATACACTTAGGCGTTTTGGGGAAAATTTCTAAAAGCAATATAATTTTATAAAGAAATTCTTGGAACAGCCAGTATAACGTTGAAGATCAAGAAAGTGCTTCAACCTGGAACCTTTCTTGTAATAAGTATGGGTGAAGTTTTAAACGAGTAAACAAAGGTACTTTGCAAAAACACTATGCAGAATTCTTTGAATCTTAATAGTAATAATCTTTGGAAAAGCACAAATTTTTAAAAAGTGACCTGCTTAAAAAAGCCGAATAAATAATAATTACTTCTCAATTGTAATTGGTTAGGCTGATTATGCAGAAATAACGAACAAAAGAGAAGTAAATTAACGGCTTAAAAAGCGGGTTTCTGGACGCTTTACCCCCAAAGTATAGCATCTCGTTAGTCTCAAAAGTAGTAAAGTACAATAACGTAGTGTTGAAAAGTGAAAGATTTCAAAAAGAGTCTCAAATTATACCAATTCATTCTCCGGATTTTACTAAACATAATAATTAAAAATGAAGATTTAGCGTAACAATGGCAAATTCCAATTGAAGTAATTACTTATTACAATAACTAAATTTCCACTTTTCCTCTCCTCTAACGGATGGCAGAAGCAACAGAGCATTTAGGCATGCCAACTTTACCCATGCTTCCAATCTCTAGTTAATTCAAAAAAAGTTTTTTTTATGATCGAAATGCATAAAAAACGTAACTTTTGTATCACTCTTGTAGGCTGAGTATTTATTATTATTATTATTATTATTTTATTATAAAAATTCAAGTCATGTCTTCTATAAATGCTTTGCTCTAACAGCTTAAAATTTCTTTAGATTTTACTAGTCCAATTAATATATGTTAGATTTGTAGCTTATAACATCAAAGCCAAAAAATACTTATGAAAAACCACTTTTCGAGATGATATCATATATAAATTTTGACAGTATTCTTAGAATGGCTTGATACTATTTGTCAAACCAAATATCAACAAAAAGCTCTATTTCAAAGCCTTAAAGTAAATAACTTGCGCCACAAGCTCTGTGTTAAAAATCGGTATTTTGATGAGTGACATAGCAATAGTCACAAAAACAAAACCATTTATCATGTGAATTTAAAATTAGCCGTATTTAAAATTCAGGTTAAAGTCTCGCGTCAGAGGCATAGTTGTAAACACTTATATTTTAATAATATTTTAATAATGGTTTTTTTTTTCGTAAATTGACATTCCTTATTTTTTTTTTAAAAAAAAGAGACTATACAAAATTTTATTTTGCTATCTAAAGCTCTAAGAAATTGATCGAATTATAGAGAAAAAATTTTTTTAAAAAAATTTCGATAACAGCGTAAAATGAAAATAAATAATTTTACATTCTTTCTCATTGTCAAATCGAACGAACAGCCACATGCTAATTCCTCGAATTTTTATCTGGGAATACATATATATATAATTTTCTATTTCTTTTTTTTTTTTTTTTTTTTTTATGAACGTGTTTTCAGCAACAAAGCCACTAAAACAATAAAAGAGAATTCCCAGATCCTGCTTAACCCAATTTTCTCAATGTTTTTTTCTCGATTCTTAATTCTCATATTCTATTTCAAAGAAAAAGAAATATCCCTCCTTATTTTTTAAAATTTCTTTGAATAATAAAAAAAATGCATAATAGTCCCAGTGTTCGAATTTATGATTCTTGTTACAAAGAAGGTAACAAAGCTTCTCAAGTAAGGATCTGACCTTTATACTATTTAGGAACGATAAAATTACACTGCCTTTTGATTCTAACATTTTAAAAGAATTGTGCAAAAATAATAGAAAATAAATTAAAGAGAACTTTTGCACATGATGTGGAACATGAACGAGATATCAAAAGATCAGCAGATCCATTAGAAAATGAATTATCAAATTACGGTCTAGTTTATATGCCAAAAATTCGCAAACGTAACCCTCAACAATTAATTAAAAAAAAACGTACTTTTAAACGTGCAGACACTGATACAGATGCACAGAATTTAACTAACACATCAAATACGATTTCAACGACAAGCACGACGAATACAGATGCACAGAATTTAACTAACACATCAAATACGATTTCAACGACAAACACGACGAATATAGATGCATTAGAACTTATAGCAATAGAATTAGCTAGATACAGGTATATTGTTCAAAATCCACAACCAGCAAAACTTAATCTGGATGGATGGCCAGACAAAGATGTTTATGATCCGGAATCAGATAAAATTTACTGGTGGAGGAATGATCCGACGTTGAATCAGTTTCATGAGCATTGGCATATAGTAATGGCTTCAGATGAAGATAATCCGAGGGATAGAGATGGAGAAAATTTTATTAACACGCATAGGCAACTTTTAGCAAGGTAATAAACAATACATAGAACATATACATAGAATATAGTAAATTTTTTTTTTAAAAAAAAATCCATTTCTCACTAGATACGACGCGGACCGCCTTTGTGCAGGCTTAGAAAAAGTAAAGGCTTTACCCGACTATGTAACACCAATACCCGAACCGTTTTATGCACATCCATTCTTATTACAAGATTGGAATGATGAAAAAGTTCATTACCCATCTCGTCCTGCCAATATAGCATTACATGATATCGGTAATATCAGCGAATCTTTTTCTTACACATATTTCACGCATTTATTACAATAATTTAAACTTCAAAAATTTTTAAAAATGATAGTTGAAATAGCTGATGGAAAAACGAACGTTTTTACTGTTGCGGAATTGGAAACTGAGCTACAATTATTAATTGAGTGGATTGATGGAGGAACAAATGATGAACATCCGGATCCATTAAAGAGAGTTGATTCCGAGGCTAATACTTTGGGTATCGATATGGAATTAAATTTACATAACAATGGTCATCGATTATTAAGTTATATAATGCATCCTTATACAATCGGTTGTAAGTATTTATCTGTTTACAAAATTTAAACAAATATTCTCTAATTCACATAATAACATACAACTTCAGACCCACCAAGTGTACTTGTCGGTGCACGTGGCGGAATACGTGATCCAGTGTTTTGTATGTGGCATCGTCACCTTGATGATTTATATGTGAGATGGCAGGATTATCTTGGACCATCCGATTTTCATCATGATGCACCAAATGTGACCATTCGCACTACCGATATCATACTTTCTTTCACAGATGTGCTTCTCAAGGTTTATCCAGATGGCCAAAAAGATGAATGGAGTGAATTTGGAAAAAAAACCTTTGGTGATAATAACTTTGATGTCGATTTTACTAATAGTCTGATTGTTACCAATGAATTTCATACTAAAATGAAATATAGAGAATATGTCTGGAGAGAAGACATGTCCAATAAAGAAAATATCTCTTATGTGTTTCCTAGAGATTGGCATTATTTTCTACGAGTCACTAACGAAGTTAATGTTGTGAGTATTATTTACAGCTATTACACTAATTGATATTTTCTATAATTCCTGACCACTTATAAATCTATATTGAATTTTTTTTAAAAGGAATCAATTATTACATTCCGCATATTCATTGTTCCTGAAGAATTTGCCGATTCCAGAGTGCATTGGATTGAACTAGATAAATTTAAAAAAATCCTCCAACCACTTGAAAAAATTGTTATTGTTCGTGAAGCTGATAAGTCCATTATAATTCGTAAACCAGCTCAAAAGACTGAAAGCCAGTTTGACGAATCTCAAATCACACCTGAAATCAAAGCAACTTTTTCGTCGCTCACTACTCAAGGTATGTCCGAAAAAGTATTTTGTAATTGCGGATGGCCCTATCATATGATTTTACCTAGGGGTACTAAGGGTGAAGGGATAAAATTTAAAATGATAGTATTTATTTCGGATGGTACAAATGATATGGTCCCATTATATGATCAATGTGGAAGTACATCTCTATGTGGAGCAGAAAAATGGGATGATAAAATTCCTGATATCAGACCATTGGGATATCCATTTGATAGACCATTTAAAGATGGATCTTATGAAAAAACGTTTAGAGGATTACATAATGTTGCTATTAGAGATGTTACAATCATATGGAAAGAAGATGACTTTTCCGAATTTTAGATACTAACTGACTGATCTCTTGTTAGCTAAAAATTTATTCATTTATTTATTTATTTATTTATTTTTGTCATATGATACGTGGGTTTTTTGGTATCCACTTTTGTAATTTCCTGTCCGATATATCTTGTGACCTTTATACGAGATTGAATTATATATTGAGTATACAAAAAATAGACAAACTATTTATAATTGAGCGTTCAATCATATTTTTCATCCCTATTATTACTCTGTTTAATGATTAATATTAATTAAATGCATAGCTGTATCAATACTGTATTTATTCATTAAAATTTATTTTGCTGAAAAGATCATTTTGTAGACATTCTTTCTGGAATAGAGTTCAATCCGGATATATTTTTTATATCCGGATTAATCCGGTTTTATCATAGTATAAATCCGGATATAAATTTAAATCCAGATTTATTTATATCCGGATATAAAAACATTATGTCACGTTATATCACATGACATAGTATATATCCGGATATATAAATCCGGATAGAGGTATTAACTCTATTCTGGAATTCATAAACTGCTAAAAAAATGATTTCATTGAAATTGCTTAATGAAATTATTTATAGGCAAATTTATTTCGAAATCATTTATTGCCTGACGATGGCTTATTATAACTGAGTGGCAAATATGATACGTTATATACCGTAATAGTGTAGTATGTCCTTTTTTTGATAAGTACTTGTATAATTATTTTTTATACAGTACACCCTCTCAAATCCGATACGCATGGTGACAGCTTTTTTTATCAATTTTGTGAGGTTTAAACTACTAATGGCCTGCTGTCACATGATCCCAAATAAATATAATTGGCTGAATTATATTTCTTATATATATAATTTGTTGCACAAAACCCAATCTGAGCCAATCAAATCGATTTATATTATCTGTCAAAACCGATATCTTATAGATCTATGTTCTTTTGGGTATCGGTTATCAGAAGTGGCGGGTTATCGGGTTTTAATTATGTAATGGACATGTGATCGTTTGGGAGGGTACGTATACTGTATTAATACAAATCAGACTACATATCTGATATAATATAATAATTTTTTTTCTAATTTATATTATAATATATACTTTTGCACAATGTTTGTTTTTGATCTTCCAACAAATATTAAAAATCAAGTGCGTGTTAAAAAATGTTATTTAAATTGCCATAATTGTCGAAGTGTAACTTGACTTACAGGGTTTTACTCAATTGAATCTTACTAAAAGACTCACTTTGTTTAATAGCGAGGACTGGAGTATCGTACCAGATACTACCACATGTATACCACGTACAAAATGATATGTAAACACACAGTTTATAGTTTAGACGTTTCTTTATTATTAAAGACTATTCTGTTTGTCTCTCTCTAATTCCAACTCACTAATTACTAAAAACCATTGTTCTATTTATATAATTGATCATGCAACATGTAAGTTACATGAACCTGATCCTGATTCCATGCTACTAAACACGTGTCAACCAAATCAACCATGTCAATAATTAAGAAATTTATAGAATAAACTATGAGATTAAATTTTGAATTTGAAAGTTTTAGATATATAGTTTATTTATTTACTAAAATAATTTTTTTAATTATAAAATTTTTTGCTGGGTCTCCAGTTATCATTTTAAAATAAAATTTAGATTAAATTGATGTTATGAGAATCAAAAAAATCAACATTTGTGTAGCCTAATATAAAATATTTAAATAAATATTAACAACATACCAACTTCTAAAAAAAAGATATTAATAATATTAGTATTGTTAATCATTTTCAAATATCAAAACTCTTTCCAACGATCACTTAAACCAAAAATTCCCACTAACAGAAAAACAAAATTTTTGTTGGAGAGTCGTGGTTGACATAGTGGTTTGTCTAGAGGTCAATGTTTACTCTGTGGGACTCCTCTAAAAGATGTTTGGCATGCAAGCCAGGAGCATTACTATACAAGTTAACTGGCAAGGTAACAATAAACCCGGAGGTGGCACCCTTGTATATAAAATCTTGGTGGAGTGTGGGCAAAGCCCAACTTCGTCAATGAAGCTACTCGACTGTTAACAAAAAACACAGGGAATACAACAAAACTTTAGTTTTTCCAAGCCACACTCTTTTACTTGGTTTAGTAGTTCTCTTCTTTACTTATTCTCGCCTCCCTATCGGTCTTCCAAATTTCTTCGAAAAAGTGGGGATTTGGCTTACCCCTCCAAAAGATCAACATTGTTTACTTTCTAAATTTGGACAACCTAATGAATTGCAACCATGTGTTTTACGAATATGGCGCATTAGGATTGGGCCCCAGCACAGAACCCTAATAATGGCAGCAGGTGGCTTGAGATACGGGTCTACAGACAGTGGCAGCACCTGGCTTGAGATATGAATTAGGATGGGCATGATGTAGTTATTCAGAGTCGTTCGGAAGATCGGAAAGAAAAATTGAACATTAAGGCGAAGCTTTACAATAGAGATATACAAATGTTGCATTTGTTATATAATTTTTATACTCACCTGGCATGGGTTATAATAGTATATTTTCTTCTTCTTTTTCTTTCTTTGGGTGCATCCATCAGGACTATCCTATTCTTTTTTTTGCTTTTTTTATCTTTCTCCTATTATGTTAGAATTCTGTTTAAAATTTTTTTTTTGGTTATGTCTTTTTTTCTTTTCTCTGTTTTTTCTCTTTCTTTTCTTAGATATAGTTTTTTTCTTTCATAAATGTGGCATATTTGTTTTTTCTTATAGAAAAGTAAAAGATTAACTATTCTGCCTGAATCTAGATAGAAAAAGTTTTAAAGAAGGAATAGGTAGTCTTGATGGGCCAGCAGAAACCTTCCAGTGAAGTTTTATTTTCTTCAAGTGTAGGAGTAAATATTATGGAGAAGAATTCTGCTTATAGCAGATCGCACATGGGTAATTTGGACTTCGGTCACAAAGAGCTGGATGAGCTAATACTTGTAATTTAGGCATTGTAAAGACTTGATCTTAGAGTCTCGTTTTTTGAAAATTTGTAATATTTCTCAGTATAATATTCTAGGCCTAATAAAGTAGAGGCAAGATTGCCGAATTTTAAAAATATATATATATATTAGTATTGTTAATTATAGTATATAAGATGTAACTAGTGGATAGAATAGCATTCTTACATCAGGACAGTAATAATTATCACAACATATAAATAAGTCAAAAAAATATAATAATAATATTAGTACAATTAACTATAGTGTGTAAAATGTAACTATTAGATAGCATTCTTACTTCAGAGCAATAGCCTTCACTGCAACAAAGTGAATATTAAATTAGATCAAAAAAATGTAATCAATAATATAACAAAAAATTTATAAAATTTAAAGATAACATATGATTCTCTTTTTAAAATATTAAAAAGAATGTATATTACATCTTAACAGCACCAAGCTGATATATTATTACAATTAGCAAAACCTTAAATAGACTAAAAATAAAGATTATTTATATAACAAAATTGATAATATTATTTGCATCTTAAAAAATATAGTAATATTTACACCTTCTTTCCTAAATATATTAAAAAAATACAACTAAAAGATAGTAGTATCAATATTATAATAGTATTAAGAGATATATTCAAAGAAGGATACTAAAAATAATAATTATAACAAAATTTGTCATGATACATGTAGGCAAAGTTAAATAATATCATTTCATCAGGTAGGTTCAAAAATTTCATTTTTTCCCTTTGATGCTTCCTGAATTATGGTAATTGCAGACATGTCTAACTCATACTAAGAAAAAAAAGCAAAACATTTGGCAAACTTGTTCCTTTTGGCATCTCCAGAACTCTTTTTTGTTTTAGAATAGGCTTGAATCTCCATATTAAGAAAGCATAAAAGTTTAAAAATTAAATTTTAAAAAATATATTTTGTTTATATTAAGTGGATTTAATTGGTTATTAAAATATAAAAATATCATTTTTCTTCACCAATACATATACTTACAAGGTCGCTGTTTATATATATATTGAATTAATATAATCAATATATTACTAATTCATTAAATACAAAATGTGAACTAACTTTCATGATGCAGACATATCTTCTCTAGGAACTACCTTACAATTAGAAATATTGTGTAATAAGAAGCTAATCATGAAGTTTAGCCAAGTGAAGTATATAGTTTTCATAGTTCTTGGATTATTATTTGAGATTTTAAGTTTTTTTGAGTTTCTCAAGTTTTTTTAAAAAAATTTTTAGGTGATTAATATGATCTATTTATATATTTATATTATAGATCATATGTATTATCATTGCTTATTTCTTATGTTATATCAAACCTCACTATAAATCAAATAAGACTTGGGTACTCTAAATAATATAGTTATTTTGCCCCAAAGACTTATTTTTGCAGATGATACAACCCAAAGAAAGAAAAGATATCGATTTATTGTTTATTCATAAAATTCTGTAAGAGTACAGTCATCCTTAATGATATCTGACGAAACCACATGCTAATTATCACATGCTATTACTTATAAAAAAATCAATAGATTGTTGTTTTTATATATTGTACTATGTGAAAACAGCAATCACATAGTTTCATTAGGCATTACTAGTCATCCTCCTATATAATCACACAGCTGTGCAGCTAGTAACTTTTAAAAGATATACTTCAATACTAATAAACTCTCTCTTATCTCTATTCTTGTGCAGCGGGTTATCAACTCCCTAGCCAGGGTCGTAATAAATTAATACAACTTAATGCAAATTTAGATTAATAATACAAATTAAAACAAATTTCTGAGGGTAAAATTCACGTGATATACTGGAAATTCAATTGGCTAATAATGTCGATAGTGTGCAGAATTAATGAACATATGAAAGGTGAGCAAAATTTCCAGTGTTTTCTGAAAAGGAAATTAAAAAACCGCAAATTAATATAAAGTTGATTTATTATTGCAAATTAAAACAAATTTTTGCAATAATGCAGATAAAGATTTTGTATAATGCAAATAAATTTTTACG